CCCTATTCTCCCCCCACACCCTCCCCGCTGATAACCCTTGGTGTGATCTCTATTTCTGTGATTCTGTTCCTGTTCTAGTTGTTTGCTTAGTTGTTTTTCTTTTTTGTCCTTTTAGGTTCAGTTGTTGATAGTTGTGAGTTTGTTGTCATTTTACTGTTCATAGTTTTGATCTTCTTTTTCTTAGATAAGTCCCATTAACATTTACATTCGCATATAAAGACTTGGTACTATGAACTCTTTTAACTTGACTTTATCTGGGAAGCACTTTATCTGCCCTTCCATTCTAAATGATAGCTTTACTGGATAGAGTAATCTTGTATGTAGGTCCTTGACTTTCATGACTTTGAATACTTCTTTCCAGCCCCTTCTCACCTGCAAAGTTTCTTTTGAGAAATCAGCTGACAGTCTGATGGGAACTCCTTTGTAGGAAACTATCTCTTTTTCTCTTGCTTCTTTAAAGATTCTCTCTTTATCTTTAATCTTGGGTAATTTAATTACTATGTGTCTTGGTGTGTTCCTCCTTAGATCCAAGTTCTTTGGTGCTCTCTGAGCTTACCTGGTCTTGCAGTCTATTTCTTTTGCCATATTTGGGAAGTTTTCCTTCATTAATTTGTCAAATAAGTTTTTAATTTCTTTCTCTTCCTCTTCTCCTTCTGGCACCCTTATGATTTGGATGTTGGAACATTAAAAGTTGTCCTAGAGGTTCCTAAGCCTACCCTCATTTTTTTTTATTCTTTTTTCTTCATTCTGTTCCAACTGAATGTTTATTTCTTCCTTCTGTTCCAAATTGTTGATTTGAGTCCTGGTTTTCTTCCCTTCACTGTTGGTTCCCTATATATTTTTCTTTATTTCATTTTGCATAGGTTTCAATTCTTCCTTTATTTTGCATCCATACTCAATCATTTCTGTGAGCATCCTGATTACCAGTGTTTTGAACTCTGAATCTGATAGGTTGGCTATCTCTTCCTTGCTTAGTTCTTTTTCTCGAGTTTTGATCTTTTCTTTCATTTGGGCCATATTTATTTGTCTTGGCACACCTGTTACTTTATTGTAAGGGACAGAGCCTTAGGTACTTGCCAAGGCAGAACAACCCAGGTCACTGGGTTGTGGCACTGTATATAAAGGAGAGGGAACAATGCCACTTGCTTGGCTCTCACCCACTTTCTGTCACTTCTCTCACTACCTATAAGTGGATCGTGCCTTTTCATGTCCTGAATCCCAGGTGGTCTTGTGTATGTCATCAGTTTGGCTCAAACAAACTCATATAAAATTTTTTTTAATTCTTCTAATCTTTTATTAATTGAATTTATCAGTTCCCTGAATTTATCAGTTCCCTTGTGTAAAGGGTGGTCTTGTGTATGTTCTAGGATCCTATGGCTCCTCCACTGGACTCTCCTGTGAGACTAGAAGTTTCTCCCCCTGCTGCAACCCCCACTGGTTTTTACAGCCACAGGTTTTGAGGCTTTAGTTCCCTTGCTGGAACCCTGGATTGCATGGTCTGCCTTACTCCCCAGTTGTTCCTCCTGGTTTATCTGCACATGAATGTGGGATATCCAGATCCTCCAGCCATTAACTTGTTGCATGATTTCTCCTCCCCATCTGCCTGTCTCCAACCCTCCTACCAGTCTGGATGAATGTTTCTTTTTTAACTCCTTGGACTTCCATACAGCTTGATATACTTGCAGTTCTGGTTGGTTTTCTTTTTAAATTTGTTGTTATCCTTATTTTAGTTGTGCAGGGAAGCAAAGAGTATCTACCTATACCTACATCTTGTCCAAAACTGATTTTACATAGTACTTTATATTTTTTAATTATTTCTAATTATTTATCATCCCCTCCTTGACATTCTTATTGTCATAATTCAGGACCCCCCTATCTCTCACCTAGGCTACTCCTAATTACTCTTTCACCTCACTCCAGCCCATCCTCACTGTCAGCAGTGCTCTGTGTACACATACATCTTGGAGCTGATCACTCCTATTATTTATCTATGGGATGTTCTACATCTTGTTTCTTGCCTCTCATTTCATGCTATTGCCTACACATACTACTCGGTTCTAAACTCTGTTTCTTTACCTTATGCTGTTCCTTTGTTATCCTTCACAAATATTCTCAATGTCCCCTTTACCTGATTGGTCAACTCCTTTGAGTCCAAGATAACAATTCATTTCATCTGTTGAAGACCTTCTGGAAAGCCCCAGGGTTGGCCTTACTAGTTTTTATGCTATCTTAACCTTTGTACTTACTTTTATTGTCATTCTAATCATCATTGTCCATTTCCAAATCTCGGCTCCTCTCCCCCCACCATCATCCCTAAAGAGAAAATGAGCTCTTCCAAGTCAGCTACTATTCTGTCACAGTCATTTGGTATCTCCAGAGTCTATCAGGTGCTCAATTCAGGGAACTGATAAATTCAATTAATAAAAGATTAGAAGAATTTTTAAAATTTTTTATATGAGTTTATTTGAGCCAAACTGATGACGTATGCTAGGGAGCAAGATCTCAAGTGCTCCCAAGAACAACAATTATACAGCTTCTTTTATGCAATTGAAATGAAGAATGGAATGTATATGGGTGGGAGAAAGCAAAGCAGGAATTAGATTACAAAACAAGATTATGTACTTTGTTGATGGTGGTTACCTATTTTCAAGATGTATTAACTAGGTTAGTTTCTGGATGCACAAAAACAATAGACAGGGCTTGCTTAAGACAAAGATAAATTTTTCACTACAAATTTATATGCCTGGGGCAAAACTACCCATCATGCACTACCAAGGTAGGGATTTATGATGAAATCACCCTGTAGGTGGTTATTCTCCACAGAACTTCTTTTTTCATGGGCAGTTCTCCCTTTTGGTCATAAATCAATCCAAATGATATATTGATGACCAAGCTTTTAATTAGATGGTATGGTCTCACAGCACTAGAAAGATTCATTCCTAGGCAGTCTCAGTATTGACATCTTTGGAGATGGGGCAATACCATAACCATGGGATCTGAATTGAGACCAAATTTTTCCCAAAAAGGGAAGGGCAGATAAATGGAAGGAAGTCTGGTCTTTTGGCCTGCATTAAGAAGAAACACTCTGAACCATATCAATCCTTTGAAGTATCATGATCCAAGTTTGCTGTTGCTCTCATTTTTTTTGTATTTCGTATCTAGTATCACATTTACATAAGCCATGAAAAGCATATTAACAGTTATATACATTCAGTAACTGTAACACTTAGAGTATATAGAAAACTCAAAGAACAAGTATAACTATTATTATGACTAATATCATTACAGACAGGTAAAAACAAACAAAATGAATTCTGAGTTCAGTATCAATCCATATGAGTACAGGCTGTGTCCATGTCTTGAAATAGCTGATTGAAAGGACTTTTATTTCTGTTTTAGGTTAAGAAAGGGTTAAGAAAGGGAATAATACAAAGGAGGAACTCATTGCTCTTTCATCTAGATCAAAAGTGAAAAATAAAAATCGACCTGCCTTTTGACCCAGCAATTCCACTGCTAGGATTATATCCTAAGAACCCTAAAACATCAATTTCAAAGAACCTATGCACCGCAATGTTCATAGCAGCACAATTTACAATAGCCAAGAGTTGGAAGCAACCTAGGTGCCCGTCAGTAAATGAATGGATCAAAAAATTGTGGTACATATACACAATGGAATTCTATGCAGCAGAGAGAAAGAAGGAGCTACTACCCTTTGCAACAACATGGACGGAACTGGAAAGCATTATGCTGAGTGAAATAAGCCAGACGGTGAAAGACAAATACCATATGATCTCACCTTTAACAGGAAGCTAAACAACAAAACAAACAAGCAAACAGAATAAAAACAAAGACACTGAAATAGAGAACAAGGGGACAGTGACCAGAGGGGAGAGGGAAGGGAATTTAAGGGGAAAAAGGGGAGGGATTTGGGGGAACAAATATGAAGGACACAGGGATGAGAACTAAGGGAGGTGGAAATCGGAGGGAGGTGGGGAACACAGGGCGGGGGGGGGGCTGGGATGGGAGAAATAGACAAAAAACTGTACTTGAAAAATAACTAAATAAAATTATTTTTTAAAAAAGAATGATATAGCATATTACTGAAATAAAACAACTATTATAATATTTGAAAAAAAAGTGAGAAATCTATTTTACTATGAGCCAATTCTGGAAAAATGTAAGTGGGTACTGGCTGCATTATTTTAAAAATATATAAAATAAAAATATTTTTATTGAATGAAAATAGGCTCTGCTGTTATAGACACTATACTATTAATATCTGGGCAGATTTGAGAGGTAAGAACATAGAGATTTTTCTTTAATCTTTCATCTGGAAATCCATTTTGGGCAGAATCACAAAACTGAGTAAATGGCAGGTTGCTCTTCCCCAAACAGAATCTTTTATTCTTGTCATCTGGATGATATAGGACCATGGGACCCTCTGGTCCCTGTTGCCTAGGAAGAATTTTCCTCAAAGACTCACTTCCCTTTGCAAATAGGCTTCTTTAGGTTCTTTTCCTAAGTGCATTCTTCTTCACCCTCCCACTTCTGCCTTTGTGAGCCAGGTGCTTGAGTTAATACTTAGCAAGGCAAAAAAAAAAAATTGCTCTTTAACAGCCTCACATAAATAATACCTTAGGGGAAATACCTGTATTTATGAGTAGTTGTTTATAAACCATGATTCACAAGGTCTCAGGGGTTAATGTAGCAATTTGGGAGACTGGCTGGATGGGGCATGTTTTGACTACATCAGCTACTGGCCTTGAGCGTTTCCGAAGTCTTCTCATAGTAACAGGCCACATGTAACACATGAACACTCAGGTTGTGTCTACAAGACATTAAAATAGTTATCTACTTTGAGCAAATGAATTCAATTTAAAGCATATCCATCCGGGATAGGAGAAATAGTTGTTTTGCATATGTAAGAGGTAAAACAAGCATTTATTTAAATATACATCTTAATTATCTACTTTATTGTATTAGATTAGACACCACCATAATATAATTCAAATGACTACTGCTCTGAACCCGTGAGAGGAAGAAATTAATATTTTTTGAGCTTCTGCCAAGTACTTTATAAACATAATTTTATTTAATCACTTAGCGCTGCTACGAGGTGGGTGAAACATAGCCCCATTTTACAGATGAAGAAATTATGGTTCAGAGTGATTAGGTAACTTTTCTGAGGTCACACAAATAGCATGTGATTGAGCTGGAGTTTGACCTAAGGTCCGCAAAGTCAGTGCTCTGTCCTTCACACCACACCTCTGCCAGTGGCCCATGGAGTTGTAAGGAACTCAGAAGAGGAGCCAGGGCAATGCACTCAGGCTTTACTCCATAACTGCACAGAAGGCATGCCGGATGGCTGAGTATGGACTGTTAGTCCCAAGAGCTTCAGGAAAGGAAATACCTCATCTATTCGGAAATACCCATAAAACAATCCTTACCAGAACACAGCATGAACCAAAATCTTTTTCTTAAATTGATTTGAGGGTCAGGGGAGAGAGGGAGCGAGAAAGTGAGAAACATGAATTTCCACATAAATGGAAATAAATTTTTCACTTATTTATGCTTTCATTGGTTGCTTCTTGTACGTACACTGACTGGGATCAAACCCACAACCCTGGTGGGGAACAGTCTCCAATCAGGATGACGCTCTAACCAACTGAACTATCCAGCCAGGGCCTTTTTCACCCCAGACCCCCAAGTTATAAGAGAAAGGTCATTTAGAAAGCTACAGAGGTAGCAGAAGTGAGCCAGCTGGGCTACCTAGGCTCAGGAAACACGTTACAGAAGCAAAAGAAGGGCCCTTGGAACTTAGGAAAGAGAAAGGCAAAGGTAAGCACCTAGGGGAGGATACAAGGAGGAAGGGAAAGGCACAACTGCTTCAGAGAGGAGAGCACGTGCTGGAGAGGACAGTGAGCCTAACCAAAATCTTGACTTCACAAATACAACAAGCAGTTGGTTATCACCCTAAGAAAAGACAAATTTCCTTCCATCAAATATTATTAGATCACCTCTTAGCTATATTTTTATACAGTTATATAATGTGATTTTCTTTTTGGTTTTAGTTGTTTTAATCAAAATTTAAAATGAACATAGTTTAAAGAATCCAATCGATAGTTTGTTGTGAAAAATAGCAGTCCTCCCTCCCTCCAATGCCCCCACATCTTGCACCTTTCTGCCCACTCCAAGACAACCATAATCAACGCTTTTAGATTTTTTGCTTTGTTTATTTGATTAATTAGTTAACTAATGTTTCTGGTGTTTACTTTCACAATTTTAAGTATGTTTTATTTGCTTATATTGCTAACTTCATTTTTCAGATGTAGGTATTATCCATAACTTCTCACTGTGAATTACAAGGATGTAGGGGTTTTTTTATCACCCTTTCCATCCCCCATCACACACATCCCCTCTTCTCATCTCTTCATCCACTCAGTAGCATTAGATAATAACTTACATTAGATTAATATTTAGTGTTTATATTATAGTTGGTATATAAATAAATGTTATTTATGGCTAAGCTCTGTCATATGTATACTATAATTCTTTTCTTTTTGGCTTGAACTTTTATTTCCCTGAAGTTCATCTTTGTTTGTATTGTCAAGTAGATTATGTACTCTCACTAATTTAACCCACACTCTCCACCAACCGTATAACTTTTTTCTTAAAATATTTAAACACACATGGATTTTTTCATATTCATCTTCTCAATGAAGTCTCTCCTGGCACTTTGTAATGTACATCAACCGGATGGTCCTGGACACAAGGTGCATACTTGCCTTCCAGGCTCACCCTCCCCTCTGTCCTGGGAACTTCCTTGGCTTATATCTTGTATCCACTGTTTTCTTCTGTCTCTGATTAATTCCCTCATTTTGGTGGAGTGTATCCTGGAGCAGCTTCTGAGAATGTGTGTTTGAGATGTAAAAAATTTCGAGACCTTACATAACTGAAATTCGACTTATTTTCTAGGTTTTCACATTTCTAAATTTCCAGCCTTTAATAATTTTTATATTCTCTGAATCTGATACAATTCATAATAATTCCTTAAATTGGTAGGCCCATGACTGACCAGAGTATTTCAGTTAACATCTGAAGAAAGTAACACAAGAATTACCTTGAGATTACTCAATTTGGTACTCTGAATTCCTTCCTACCACATTTGCATATTACAGTTATTATATATTTGTCTTTCCTGCCTACATGTGTCCCTCTTTAGAATGATCAACTTTAAATCTATCCAAGTTCATTTGAATTCCATTCTTATATTCTAAAGTGCTAATAACCCTATAACTTAGAATCAACCACAAACTGAATTCATAAATATCATCTAAATCACTAATAAAACATATAAAGTACTTCTAGACTCTCAAACTTGCTTCCATCTCTTCTAATGGCTAATTCAAAATTATTTCAAACCATTTAACAATGGGAAAGCTTGATACGTATGACAATTGTTTCTTCATAAATAAAAGAATACAGAGGTACCTTGGTACTCATCATTAATTCATTCCAAAAATCATGACCAGTGTCAAAACTGATGAGTACCAAACGATAAAACATTTTCTCTTGTGGGGCGGCAGAGTGATTCATACAAGTGCTAGCAAGCATGAGTCCTGAGCAAGTTCCGAGTATTGAAACATTTTTTTTCTCGCCAAAATATGATGAGTACAGGTTTTGGCAAGTTCTGAAGCCAATGAGTACCGAGGTATGACTGTACTTTGACAGTTGAGTTTCAAGGTCCAAGTGTTTTTGCGAGGGCATTCAGCTTTCTGTTTTCAAAGGCAATCTCTTTCCTTATTTAAAAAATTAGGTAGGCCCTAGACAGGTGGCTTCGTTTGTTGGAGCATTGTCCCATACACCAAAAAGGCTGCTGATTTGATTGTTGGTCAGGGCACATACGGGAGGCAACCAATGTTTCTCTCTCACATCGATGTTTCTCTCGCACACATTCTAAAAAAAATCAATAAACATATCCTTTTGTGAGAATTTAAAAAAACAATAAAAAATTTAAAAATTAGCACATCTTTTTTCAGACCTCAAGTACCCCTTCTGTTAATACTAAACAGATATAATTAAAGAGACAGCAAGACACAGTGAAAGAACATTTGCATAAACGGTGAGAAGACTAATGCTGCAAATGTTTATCTGTGATCCAATATTTGTTGGTGTACTAATGACCCAATACTTATTAACCCATCAAATGTGTATTGATAACATACTATGTTCCAGGTACTGTGCTAGGCACTGAGGCCTGAAGAGTAAAAAGACAGATGAGAAAAAGTTCCAGGCTTTGTTCAATAGTACAACAAATACTAAGCAAATAACAAGTTGACTATTACTTAACCTCTATGAAACTCAGTTTCCTCATGAATAAAATAAAGAAAATAACAAAGAAAATATTACCTCATTGCTTTAAATGAGGTAATACAAGTGAAAAACTTTTTTTCCAGATGAACAGGTATCTTCTGCTTCCTTTGATTTTCCCAGGGCAGGGGGCATCTCTAACTCATCTATATACACTCAGCAAGCAGGCAGTGCTTATCAAGTTGGCAGGAACTCAACACAGGTGTGTGAACAAATGCAATTCCAAAAGATGAATCCATATATTCACATAATTAGAGTCTTTTTGTTTTCTTACCAAGATTATACACCCATTTGTGAACTAATAAACTTTATGCAGAAAAGCTTAAAATGATACTGTAGTAAAATGTTCCATTTAGCATGTGAGCATCATTAAGGTGTATATGTTTGAATAGCAAAAATATTATAACATTTAATTTTTATTTATTTCCTTTCATATAGCAAGCAATTGTCCCTAAAATAATTTTCAAGGGTAGAGCGTAGTTTTTTGAATGTTTGACAAACTTATTTGAGATTTAAAAAGCACTACATAGGAAACCAAAATAAGTCAACTACTTGAAATTTCAAAATGAGATGTTAAAAAAATTTTTAATGAACTCTAAGCAAAGTTTCAGCCCACAAAAATATTGTCTAACATACATTCATATATGTATGGAAATGTCAATGGCCTGCTTCCTGGCAAGTCTATAGAATTAATGGACTTTAAGTCTTTGACACTAAAATCTGAATAGCAGACACAGCAGTTTACCATGGAAGGTAATTGTTTTGGTTTTGTTTCCCAATGGTGCATAAGGAATAAACTGTTACTACTTTTCTTCTCCTAGAATCACAAACCGGAAAGGCTGAAAGAATCACAAACCGGAAAGGCAAAAATCACAATTCCTAGAACAATCTAGGAATTGTTCCGTTCAGCCTCCCTATTTTCCAGAGGAGGAAAAACAGAGGCCCAGAGAGGTGCGATGATTTGCCAGTTGCAGAGCTGGGACTAGAACCAGAGACTCTTCTCTGGGACAGGAAGCAGCAGCAGCCTGCTGGAAACATTGCCTGGTATCCTGGGAATTTGCTTGTCTGCTGTGTAGGGATAGTCTGACCCTAAAATGTCTAATTCCAAGACAATTACACATATATTCCAGCTAAAGATGCATCTTCAATTTAATTGAAATAGAATGTCAGACCAACACCTCCAATTGTTTTGGGAGGGGGGTTAGGAATAGAAAAATAAATTCTTTACCTCATATGATAAAAGGTCTACTCCATAATGTAAGTGCAGAGAAAGTCCTCCACAAAGCCTTATCCAATTAAAGCAGCAGTTCCCACCACCAGCCTTATTAACTGATGCACTCCAAAGACTGCACTGGTCCACTGCTTCTTTCACATGGCAAGCACTACCTCCTGACACTTCCTTCGCCACTCAAGAACCTCACTTCAGCAGACCTCCTCCTTGGATTTATCTGAAAGAGGTTCAGCTCCTTTCTCTTGGCCACTCTTTCCACCATCATGAAATCTCATGACAAAACAAAAACCCACACAATAGTTTCTCTTCACAAGTTTGGGAACAACTAACCTGGTAGTTCATAAATTATAAAATGGAGTAAAAGGAGAAAACATGGATCTAAGCAGCACTCAGGTACAGTTCAAGTGGCTCCGATCCTGAACTCTTGAGGCACACTCAATGCCCTTGAGGTTCAATTTCTTTATCTCTAAATTAGAGTTGATAATGCTTATCTCACAGAGTTGTTGTGGAGATTAAGTAAAGACAATTTAAGTGCCTACCACACTGCCTGGAACATGCTAAACACTCATTGTTTTCATCTCTCTCTGCTGTCACTTTTTCTCTATTTTCTAGGAATCCAGTGAATATTGGCATTTATTATACAATTCTCTCTACTTTTACATGTATTGAACTTTTCCATTATAAGAAAATTAAATGAAATAACTTACAATGATCAGTTCTGATTTTAGTAATATTTAGAAGTACAAATAATCTATCAATCATGTGGATTTGGGTAACCATATGTTTTTTAAGAACAGTAATTTTAAAAGTAGCTAATATAATTTCATTTCAATTGAGATATTATAAAAGTTAATGTTCTTAAGGAGGTTTTATTCTAAAGTATGAGCTATATCACAAGGCCTAACCACCTTAACTATATTGCTTATGAAATATTATTTCTGATTATATATGAAAATTATTTTTATCAAAAATATTACCTATTTCTTCTTCAGTTTATATAAATCATAACAATTATGGGATTAGTTACCCCCAGGTTGGGTATCTTTTCAAACAAATTGGTTTTGTTATCAGTTGTCACATATAGACTGAATGTTGATCAATGGCTAATAAAATCATATTCAGTTTGATGGATTTAAATAAAAGTAGTGAGTCCATGGTTCAGAACGAATATTTGATTATGTTTTTATAAATTAATATTCCCATTTATGAGGCATTTTTCCCTTTGTGATAAAGTCTAATGCTTTTTATCTAACTTGTAAAATATAAACACTTTAATTTATGGTTCTATGTGTTTCTTGGGATTGATGTAGTTAAATACTTAAAGTCAATTCAGTCTCTCTAAATTTGCTTTCCCAGTTAGTGGACTAATAGTAACTTACATTTATAATAATACCTTTGTTTTAAAGAGTTCATAATATGTTGGACTATTCTATTAGTAATTCTGAAACATTCTTGTAGACTTGTAGGTGGCATCTATTAAATGTAGCTTATCAAATGAGAGCCATGGCCATGGGCTGAGTTACTTCCTCAAGGTCACACAGATATGGGTTATAAGGATAAAATGATATGATGCATATGGCAGCCATAAAGTGTTTCACAAATGCAGGATATCATCAAAGATATAAACAGATCTGTGATGAGTTCTTACAATTATTGACTGCTCTTCTTAACAGTTGTCTCCCTTGACTTTCTGGCCAAAACTAAAATAATACTTGCTATCACTAACCTCATGGAGAAAAATGAGGAACAAGAAATTGAGAAGTATACAGATCTCCTTGAAAATATGGTGCCATGTTATTTTTATGAGTGTTAATAGTGACCCTGCTATTGAAATAACCTCCATGACTATTTGTTTGTTTGTTTGTTTGTTTATCTATTTACTTATTCGTAGACTAAAACAATTAAGTTTGGAATCCTTACCAAACCCTAATTCAGGCATTGAGTTTCAGTACTTCTGAATCTCTCTGGTGTATCTACTCAATTTTCTACTTGGCTGGAGAATTATTGAAAAATTTTAGTGCTTTTTAAGTACTTGCTACAGGATGCTTTCTACACAGCTACAGAATATCAGCAAGACTTGTGTATTATTCTCCCATATCCTCAGAACTGTTTCAGAGCATCACGATCTGGTTCAAAGGTGTTTAGGACGTGCCAAATACCATGGTTGCTATGAAAATTATCAACCAACTAGAAGTATTAGCTATTTTATGCCAAAGAAAACAGTGTTTTAACAATGATTCATTTTTTGTCATTAGCTGATTATTTTGAGCTCTCATTATCTTGAAACTATTGGCCACAAGAAAAAAAATACATTTTCAGATTTGGCTTCTTTTATATGATAGTTCCATCTCTCATGTACCAGCCATAAATTCTTTGTCTTTGGGACTGTAAATGCTTCAGGATGTAATGGAAAGTTAGTATCACATGGCAAGACATTTGTTCCCATTGCAAAGTGCAGCCAGCTCTGAAATCCAACCCCTAATGAGAACAAGTATGTAAATGAGAGCAGCCAAACCAAACAGATTAAAAAACGAAGCCAAAGAAGTCTATAAAAGACATTTTTTTAGCCTAGGTATTCATTAATCCAGAGCATTTAGATTCTGAATTCAAAATAAAGCCTTTTTTTCCAATAGTTTGTTACTATAGTGACTTATCTACAGACTTACATTTTAAAAAACTAAATGAGAAGAAATTTTTACCCCACGGTAGCTCTATTTATTAAATATTTCTATGTAAAAATGTGATTTAAACTAGACTATTACACCAAAAACATATTTCAATGCACATTGAATTAAATATGATTAAAAATGGCTTGTATCAAAGGAATGTGTATCTTGATTAAATTTCAATCTTGTTTTCTACAGAACACTGAAGTGCTGTATTCTCAGAATATTAAAGATACTTTCTACAGAATACTTCTGCATATGATGCAACATATAGCTTTCATATTTTCTGAAATTTCTGCAAAGAATAAAATTGCTTAAATAAAAAGGGTTTTTTAAATCTTCGTCTAATAATTAAAATGATATATTTCCTCTTAAAGATACATACTTAATAAAAATACCTAGTTTTGCAGAGAATTCTCCACTGTAACAATGTCTCATGATTTGGGGCATATTTATTGCTTTATTTTCTTAACACAGAATGAAAATGTAAGGTGGTGTAAAAATGGAGAACTTATTTATTTATACAACATTTACCAATAAACTAATATGAGCCAGGCTCTATTTATAGACCTTGGGAATATAAGAATAAACAAAACAGATGAAAGCCTTTGTCCTCCATGGAATAATTTATTTTAGTGTGGGGAAATAGACAACAAACAAAATAAGTGAATAATATATTAGAAGGTAGT